CAACAACCACAGCCTGCGGCACCCCCCAACAACCACAGCGTGCAGCACCCCCCAACAACCACAGTCTGTAGCACCCCCCAACAACCACAGCCTGCAGCACCCCCCAACAACCACAGCCTGCAGCACCCTCCAACAACCACAGCCTGCGGCACCCCCCAACAACCACAGCGTGCAGCACCCCCCAACAACCACAGTCTGTAGCACCCCCCAACAACCACAGCCTGCAGCACCCCCCAACAACCACAGCCTGCAGCACCCTCCAACAACCACAGCCTGCGGCACCCCCCAACAACCACAGCGTGCAGCACCCCCCAACAACCACAGTCTGTAGCACCCCCCAACAACCACAGCCTGCAGCACCCCCCCAACAACCACAGCCTGCAGCACCCTCCAACAACCACAGCCTGCAGCACCCCGCAACAACCACAGCCTGCGGCACCCCCCAACAACCACAGCCTGCAGCAGCCCCCAACAACCACAGCCTGCAGCAGCCCCCAACAACCACAGCCTGCAGCAGCCCCCAACAACCACAGCCTGCAGCAGCCCCCAACAACCACAGCCTGCAGCACCCCCAACAACCACAGCCTGCAGCAGCCCCCAACAACCACAGCCTGCAGCACCCCCCAACAACCACAGCCTGCAGCACCCCCCAATAACCACAGCGTGCAGCACCCCCCAACAACCACAGCCTGCAGCACCCCCCAACAACCACAGTCTGCAGCACCCCCCAACAACCACAGCCTGCAGCACCCCCCAACAACCACAGCCTGCAGCAGCCCCCAACAACCACAGCCTGCAGCACCCCCCAACAACCACAGCCTGCAGCACCCCCCAACAACCACAGCCTGCAGCACCCCCCAACAACCACAGCCTGCAGCACCCCCCAACAACCACAGCCTGCAGCACCCTCCAACAACCACAGCCTGCGGCACCCCTAACAACCACAGCGTGCAGCACCCCCCAACAACCACAGCCTGCAGCACCCCCCAACAACCACAGCCTGCAGCACCCCCCAACAACCACAGCCTGCAGCATCCCCCAACAACCACAGCCTGCAGCATCCCCCAACAACCACAGCCTGCAGCAGCCCCCAACAACCACAGCGTGCAGCACCCCCCAACAACCACAGCCTGCAGCACCCCCCAACAAACACAGCCTGCAGCACCCCCCAACAACCACAGTCTGCAGCACCCCGAAACAACCACAGCGTGCAGCACCCCCCAACAAACACAGCCTGCAGCACCCCCCAACAACCACAGCCTGCAGCACCCCCCAACAACCACAGCCTGCAGCACCCCCCAACAACCACAGCCTGCAGCACCCCCCAACAACCACAGCTTGCAGCACCCCCCAACAACCACAGCCTGCAGCACCCCCCAACAACCACAGCCTGCAGCACCCCCCAACAACCACAGCTTGCAGCACCCCCCAACAACCACAGCCTGCAGCACTCCCCAACAACCACAGCGTGCAGCACCCCCCAACAACCACAGTCTGCAGCACCCCCCAACAACCACAGCCTGCAGCAGCCCCCAACAGACTGGTCAAGTAAATCCTCACGATCCACTCGCACAGCGTGCGGTGGGCCTTTATCCAGCAGTGGATTTAAGCACCAAAAAACACTCGAATACTAATGTAATGGACAGAGCACGGCTCTCCCTCAGGGCAGCAGTGGAGACAGCGCGGCTCTCCCTCGGCCAGCAGTGGAGAGCACGGGGGTTCTGCCTCACTCACCCATCTCCACTGAGCTGCATGCGATTGTGCGTGAGTGAGTGTGAGTGAGCTGTGTGTATAAGTGAACTGTGTGTATGAGTGAGCCGTGTGTGAGTGGATTGACCGTCAGCTCTCCGTGGCTGCGTCTCCGGCGCTGTGGCCGTGAAGTTGCTGCTTCTCGGGCCTCCGAGGTGCAGGGGCGCATCATAACAACATGAATTGGGCCGCTCGCGGTCACGTGACAGCACTTCGACCAATCCGGGGGCGTTAATCACAGTCACAGAATGACAGAAGGACAGATCTGGGCTATTATATATGTGTATTTATATTTGTTTTTTGTGACCTACTTACCTTTTCTCTATTTTGCACTCCGATCGTTTTTTGCGCGTGTGTATTGTTTGTTGATGTAACTTGCTGACCTGCTCCTCGGGCACTATGGTGGCGAGAGGTTAACTACCTCGCCTGGTATACAGGTAGGGCGTGGGTTCGATCCCGACCCTTAAACACCTGTTGTATATTTGGAGTTTGCGTGTCTCTCTCTCTCTCCCCGTGATCGTGTGGCTTTGTCTCCGGGTCCTCCCGGTTTCCCCCCTCCACATTTAGAATCAACATCACGCTTTTAGAATATTTGACTGCTAGAAATGTCCACGTGATGATAAACCACTTCCTTGAGCTATCATTTGTGACACCCAGGTCGCTTATGAAAAAGAGCAAAATAACAGTTCAGTGGGCCTTACGTGGTTAATTTAAACATATTTTAGTTTACTGGACATCTGTGCAAAAGAGCTGCATGGCTCATCGGATTAGAACGACGCTCTTAGACTATTTAGATTATCTTGAAGCTGTACATGTTCAAATGCTGAGCCCCTTTGTTGAGCTATGATGTGTGGCCAGGTCGCGGTTGAGCAATACGTTAATACCTCAGTGGGCTTTGTCTGGTAGGATGGCGATGGTTTTGTGCTGTGCTGTGTTCGTACGTTATGAGATCTCTTTTACCAGTGGCAAAATATAGTAGTAGGTTTTTACCCTTTTAAACTGGTACAAAACTGACACCTTTATTCAAGGCATCATGTTTGCAATAACCACAACACAAGTAGTCAAAAAAGCAAAAAAAAAGAAGCAACTCTGATAATGATAATAATATGCACTGTCCTTGAAGTTGATTGGTCCACACCCGAGACGGCTTTCTTTAGAGCCTAGTCCCCATTGGTGTTGGACCAGATGACACCAGAAGGCGTACAACTCAAACACAGTGCAATATCAGAGTCTTGAGAGCTCGGGGTAAGGATTTACACTATGAGATCTCTTTTACCAGTGGCAAAATATAGTAGTGGGTTTTACGTGTTGGGTGATTTGTTCAAATTGCTTGTACTTTGCACTCCTATCATGAATTTTGCATTGATTGTTGTTGTGACGTTCTCACCCCGTGCCTCTACTGGACATCTGTGCAAACAAAAATGGCTTCAGAGCTCATAGGATTCCTCCAGTATAAAATAAATAATCATTGGAAAGATGTGATTAACCATGCAAAAAAGATTTAACTACACTTATTTGGCCAATCTTATTTGACAGATAACTATTACAGGTTTACCATCTTTAGTGGTTGTCTCCTTGTCACAGATTGAGTCACAACCCGTACCTCTCCATAACAAAGGCTCACCCTCTTAAGCCTCACCTTACCATATGAATAAAAAGTGTGCTGTACTTGGCCCTTCCCCCCCCTCTCCAACCATTATATAAACGGAGTGGTAGCTCCTGCAATCTCTCATTTACTTGATACAGCTGTCGTGGCTGTGACGGTTCCACCTGAAGACGGAAGCTTGTGTTGCCTCCGAAACGTCGTGATTTTTATTTTATTTTACTTTTATCAATTTTAATGTTTTACCTACGTGACTTTACCGAAAAAACCTAAGAATATAAATATTCAGATTCTAAATAAAGCCATGATCCTGATATCACATCTCTCCATGTGAGCCGCGTCCTTTCTCAAAGACGTGCGGCGATTATCGCCTCCCTTTGCTTCCAATTCAGCTCTATCTTTCTATCTCTCAACGATATTCATTCTCGAGACTTATCGTCCCCAGTGGCATCCAATTGGTTCGAATCGCTCATCGCGTAGCTCTGTTCGCCGTCTTCCCCGCCTCCGTGTGGTTACGAACAATATCCCCAGTTGAAGCGATACACCATGAGAACAATCGCCAACGTAACGGAATAATGGAAAGTGTACGTTTCCCAACTTCTCGTAATTGGCGCAACCGAGATCCACCGGATACATTGCGCCTTGTAAATTGCAATGATTATTATTATTATTAAGATTTAAGTCTTCCGGGAAACAACTCGGTTCGAACAAATCGCACAGAAACTCACAACCGTTGGTGCAGTTCCTTTAGAGCCATCAGCAGTTCCTATAGAACTGAAATGCGGTCATGTTGTCTTAAGGTCACCGTCGCATTTACTTTGACAGCTTGGGTGGGAATTGGAGGCGGGGGTGGCTATCATCCAACGGTGGATTCATTGAGGACTCTACTGCTACTGCTGCTGTTGCTGCTGCTGATGATACTGATGATGCTGCTGCTGATAATGACGATGACACACTACACTACATTGTCAACTCACGCACTCCTCACGCACTCACTTCTCGGAAGCCTCGCCAACTTGTTCCTCAAAGGCGCTCCATCGATCTTTACGGTGGGGTTCACGCACACAAAAAAGAAACACATTCCCATGCATTTAAATGTTTCATTAGAGATTAACGACGCAGGGCGGCTCCTCCGGGACCGTGACCCACTCCCGTCGCAGGGAGGGGGGGGGGGGGTCACTATTCTACGGGACCGTGACCCCCCCCCCTCCTCACTGCACGTGGGGGTGGGGGTCTGTCTCTCCACTCGGAGCGCATGAGTACACGTGGTTACTAAACCATGTTGATGGACGTGTGGCAAGTCACTCAGAAGCTGGTGGGTTCAAACTCCAGTTAAACTAAATGTATTTATTTATCTTCTTGGTTCTTTCGGTAAAGTCACGTAGAAGGGAAATAATAAAATAAAAAAAATAAAACATAATAAAATCATTCTCACGACGTTTCGGCCACAACGCAAGCAGCCGTTCAGCTGCGGACGGCTGCTTGCGTTGTGGCCGAAACGTCGTGAGAATTATTTTATTATGTTTTATTTTTATTATTTTATTACTTCCCTTCTACGTGACTTTACCGAAAGAACCAAGAAGATGAATCCCTGCAGTCACGAAAGCTTTAAATCGGTATTTATTTATTTTTCAACAGAAGACCCCACTGAACTCTGTAGCTCTTTTTTTCAGAAGCGACCTGGCAATCGCAAATGATAGCGACTCAACGAAGTGGCTTGTCACGTGGAAATGTACAGCAGTCAATAGGTGAGTTTTAAGACCGTGATTAAAAAAGAGCGAAACAGACTCAAAATCCCCAATTTGAACCGGAGAAGGCGATTCGACAATGGCAGGAGCGTGGCTGCTGAAGGCTCCGTCTGGTTTGCGTTGGGTTTGTGGCTCCCCCTTTGGTGATATCTGCAACACCGCGCCAGGAAATCGCTCAGGGCTGCATCCACCTTCAGGGGAGAGGCGCACGACCGGTTCAGATAATTATCATCACCAAATGATCGTCGGCCGTGTGAGCGCGAATCGAACTCGGGTCGCTGTATTGGTATATTGGTAGGGTAGTTCAGCGTGCTAACCACTGCGCCCATACACAAACAAAGACAAAGATCCCCCTTTAGTCTTAACATACTTTTGGGCCAAGTGCTGTTAACGACCACCAAAAACAGAGTTTCCGAGCGAGCGCTGTTCGCGAGCACCTGTGAAGACCGGCACGGTAGACGACTTGGTTGGTGGCCAGCCCCACGGCGATGTTTACACGCCGCACCAGGCACTCGTTTGTGTGTCTGGTGAACTTCTTTCGCGCCGTACGTAGCCTGCCGTGCTCGCTGGAGGTGCCGGGGTGGTGGTGGGGACAGTTTGAGGCCGAGTCGACCCAGGGGAGCGCCGTGACCTGTTCACACACATACACACACAGACACACACATTTACAACAACAACCGCCATACGCCACTATGTGGCGGTGACGTCACCACGACGCTTGTGCCAGGCCATGTGCACCTTGAGGCCACGTGAAGTGTCGAACGCCCGCTGGCAGGAGGTCACGGGGCAGACCCAGGTGCCACGGGTCGCCTGACTGAGATGACTGAGATGACTGGCTGATGCACCACCTGTGCCCCCTACTGTGCCAACTTTCTGTGCTTTAGCCACCCGGCGCTCCGCTCGTTGTTGTGAGCGTCGCTCCTCTGCCCTCCGTTGTTGTTGGAGGGCGACTGCCTCCAACTACCCAGTTGCGTCCTTCACGAGCCTCCTCCACTGAGGCCAATCTTGACAGCGCTGGTACCAGTCATCGGCAAGTCCGCTCAGTTCCACGTCCTCCTGTACCACATCACTCCATCTCTTCTCTAGCCCGTGCTGCGCCCGTTTATCCCCCTCGATCCGGCCGAACAAAAGCTGTTTAGGCATGCGGTGGCTAGGCATGCGGGCTACATGACCCAGCCAACGCAGCCTTGCCTGCCGGAGGAGCTCACCGATGGGACTTTGCCCAGATCTTTCAAGAATTTGTGAGCTCCTCACACAATCCAGCCTGGTTAAACCCAGAATGGATGGTAGGCAGGCCAGCCTAAATGTTTATAACCGGCGAAGATGCTCCATTAGGGGGGTCCACGTTTCGCAAGCGTACAGAAGGGAGGGAATGACTGTGGCCGAGAAGACCTGAAGCTTCGTGCGGAGCGACAGACCAGGCAGCTTCCACACAGCGTTACGCAACCGATGAAAAGATATTGCCGCTCGACTGATTCGGAGTGAGACCTCTGCTGCCAAACCGGAGCTGATCATGAGCACACTGCCCAGGAATGGGAAACTCTCCACTTTCTCCACAACTGTTCCATCACCGATTGGGAGTTGTGGGGGTGGAATGTCCGATGGTACAAATACCCAGGCAGGTGTTTAGTTTTGGTGGGGTTGATGTTAAGGCCCAACCTCTTAGTGGCAAGTTCCAGTCTCAGCAGCAGCGTCTCCAACTTCCTCATCTGAATGAGCAGCTATTACCAAATCATCGGCATACATAACGTGGTTGACCAATAGGGAGCCATCCCTTGACCGCACCCGGGCATCGATCAGCCTCCCATTATATCTGTACCAAATGGAAATTCCCCTAGTACAGCTATTGAAGGCTTCACGAACTACGTGGTCAAAATAGTTAAATAATATGGGAGCCAGAGGACATCCCTGTCGCACCCCAAGATGTAGAGGGAATGGCTCTGACTCCCGGCCACATAGTTTTACCCGGGCCCGCTCACCATCATGAAGGTCCTTAATTATCATGAGCAGACGGTCAGGGACTCCGAAAGCACGAAGAAAAACCCAGAGCCCAGGCCTACTGATGGTATCATAGGCCTTGACCAGGTCAATAAAGCAGAGATGTAGGTCTTGTGGGAATTCTCTACACCTCTACTGTAGCACCATCTCGCTTGGAAGATCATCTCTGCCCGGTGCCTTTCCTGGTCTCAGACTCTGGATTGCCTTCAGTACTTCCTCAACAGATGGCACCTCAGTCAGCCACTCACAGGGGGTGACTTCTTATTCCAATATTTGAGGCACTGCAGCCTCAGCAGGGTCATCCCCACTTTGTGCCACAATGTGTTCCTGGCTGAGGGATTTTCCCTCCCCCAGGACCTCACAGAAATGCTCAGCAAATCTGCAAACCTGTTCCTGGAGGTCAGAGATTGGATGACCGTTTTTTCTCCTAATGATGGTAATAGGTATGGCGTTGCCGGTTACTTTTTGATGGAGTTAAATAGGGATTTGTGATCGTGGGCCACTGAGGAAGACTCCATCTCCTTAGCAACCAGCGACTACCACCCATGCTTGCAGCACCTCACGGCTCTCCGAACCTCCGAGCGAAGGCTGCGGTAAGCCTCCTCATTTTCTGATGTGGGATGCTGTAGACGATTAGAGTGGGCCTGTCGCTTTTTCTCAACCATCCTGAACACCTCTTCTGTCAGCCAGGGTCTCTGGGGTGGTCTTGACCGGATACCAAAAGCAGCCTTTGCAGCTGCATGAATCACAGTCCTAAACCTCGCCCATTTACCCTCAACGACAGGAGGAGTGGGGGACGATGCCAACCCCAGCCGCAAGCGATGATGAAATTCTCACTTGCAACTTTCATCAGCTAACTGAGACCAGGCCACCTTAGGTTGGAATGGGGTCTTGGGTGTACACCCATCACCGGAGTGGAAGAATGGCAGGCGCATCTAACAGATGACTAGTCGATGGTCAGAGGGCAGATCAGCTCCGCCGTAGGTCCTGGTGTCAAGGGCTCGCATCCGCTGATCCGTCACTATGTAGTCCAGCAGATGTTCTTGCTTGGACCCGGCATGCATCCATGGTGTTGTGTGGATGCGCCAATGCTGGAACAGCGTGTTGTAAATTACAAGCCCATGGGCTGCACAAAAATCTAGCAGCCTCCTACCGTTGTTATTGAGCTGATCTGGCCCATGCCTTCCAATCACTCCAGACCAGGTGCCAGCATCATGACCAACTCGGGCATTGAAGTCACCCAACAAGATGACTCTATCCCGAGGGGCCACTTTAGCCAGCACCTGTGACAGGAGGTCACATAAGGAATCTGACTCGTCGGCCTTGCATGCATCCCTCCACGGATGTTCGTCTTCGGTGGGGGCATAAGTAACCATGACCACCACTCCTCGCATCCGGTTGATGGGAAAGCGAGCCCAAAGTAGCCTGGGGCTTACAGCTTCCCACACCTCACCACCACGCTCCCACGCCCCCTTCATTATTTTGTTCAGAAGAAGAGCCACACCCTGTTGTTTGGCAGTCTCCTGCCCCCAGTAGAGGACTGTCCACCCCTCATGGATGACAGGAGCCAGTGCCGGTCCATCGGACCTCCTGAATGCCACAGAGATCCAGGTGGTACCGGTCCAGCTCCCGACAGAGGAGTGGCAGCCTCTCCTCCGCAGTGAGCTTTCGAAAATTCCACGTGGCCATCTGTAGTGGATTGTCGTTCTTTCTGGAGGAGCCCCGAGGGTAAAGATTCAATCTCCTGGCTCTGCCAGATGGGGTTTGGCCAGGAGACGTCACAGATTCCTGGCCCTCCGGGGCCTCCGGCACAAGCTTATTAGTTAGATTTTTTAGTCGTGGTTAGGTGGTAATTTATTAAAGGTGCAGGGGTTACCAGCCCCTCGCACCCATCCAGAGCCCCCATTTAGCCACTGTAATGGTCACAGACGCCATGAGGAGAGAGGGCCAATCGGAATTGGCCCTCCCCCCACAACACTGTCCACGACAGCGTTTCCCGTCCGGCACCGCGAGGAGGTCGGGGGTTGTGTTTGCACTCCGATCATACACATACACACAAATACACACATACACACACACACATGCACACACATACATACACACACACACATACAAAAAAAGATCCCCCGTGTCGCCTTTACAGACTGTAGGGGCAAGTGCTGTTAGCGAGCACATATGAAGGCCGGAACGGTACACGAGGGGGTGGGTGGCCAGCCCAACGCCCGACCGCCTTTGTCTCCCAAGTGTTGATGTTTACACACTGCACCAGGTACTCATTTGAGGCTGAGTCGACCTACACACACATACACACATACACATAGCAATCGCCATTCGCCACTAAGTGGCGGTGACGTCACCACGACGCTTGTGCCAGGCCATGTGCACCTTGAGGCCACGTGAAGTGTTGAACGCCCGCTGCCAGCGGGCGTTCGACACACACGCGCACACACACAGATACACAAACAAAGATCCCCCGTATAGCCTGAACAGACTGTAGGGGCAAGTGCTGTTAGCGAGCACCTATGAAGGCCGGCACGGTACACGAGGGGGTGGGTGGCCAGCACCACGCCCGACCGCCTTTGTCTCCCTAGTGGCGATGTTTACACACCGCACCAGGTACTCATTTAAGGCTGAGTCGACCTAGGGGAGGCCCAGGACCGGTTCAGATAATCGTCACTGGTGTTAGCCGTGAGCGGGAATCGAACCCGGGTCGCCAGGTTCATAGCGCAGCGCGCTAACCGCTACACTACCGCTGCCCACATATACACACACGCACACACACAGATACACAGATACACACACATATACACACACACGCGTACACGGGCACGCACACAGATACACACACATATACACACACACGCGTACACGGGCACGCACACACAAATACATACATCACCGTGACTTATTCACGCCGAAATTGCCTCCGACAGCGGCGAGCGAGACATCTGTCATTACATCCGCATAATTAAGGTGGTGATGGCTCAGAGCTGTTTCATATCGCTTCACAAAGACGGCGACCGAGCGAGCGAGAGGGGGGGGGGGCGAGCGAGAGAGCAATTTAAACGCTCACTTTAGCTCCATATATAGATACCAAAGAATGTTATATTTTTTTATTTTTTTATCACGCGGCGGTCCAATCCACCACCCACCCATCGCCTTAGCCGCAATAAAGAGATGTAATGTGATTTTAAATCAGTTCACGTAACAGCAGGTGCTGCGTGGCTTACTACATCTGCAGGATCGTGAGGAGGGCGGCGGAGGCTTGGGGTGGACTTCATCCAGCAGTGGGTTGATCATGGCTGCTGCTGCTGATGATAATAATAATAATGAATGTGGAAGGAAAACCAGGAGGTGCCGGAGAAAAATACACGTGACCACGGGGAGAACATGCTATGAGAATAGTCAGCCACCCTCTCTATACGTGATGCAGGGACTCCTCTGCTTACGAACATTCGACTTACGACCCTTCAGGGATACGAACAAACCTGTCCCCCATGTCCAGTTGCCTGTCCAGACCGCGAGTCGTAAGTTGAACTGTCGCGCAATGGATGGCTGTTGTGACATCTACGTCTGCAGAACGTGAAGAACCAGTGCCATCTATATGTTCCAGAGATTATATAGCTTCTAAATCCATTCCCCCGTGTTTAGTGTACACACCGTACAACATGGTTGGAATCTACATGGGTATAGTTGGACTTACGAACAAATTGACTTACGAACAGACCTCTTGAACCGAACTCGTTCATAAGTCGAGGGGTCCCTGTGTATTTACGTGCATAAGCGATTGATTTGTTTTCTGTGTTGAACCGTTGAGGGGTTGGTGCAGTGGGGGGAGGGCATGTTTTCTACGGAGTGCTCTTGCCAAGAACATCTGGGGAACCCAGCAGCGGCAGCATCGGCGGCAGCAGCAGCGCGCCTTGAACTCGCCCGACTCTGCTGGCGATGATCCAGTCAACATGCAACGGAATGAAAAACTCACCCACCGCCGGGTCTCCTGCACACTCCGCGTGGCGCAAGGAGCCAGAGCCGCCCCCCACCCGACCTCCAACACCCCACCCTCCTCCCCCCTATCGAGGAGTTACCCACAGTTGACCCCGCTTCACTCGACCCGAGCGAACGAACGGAGATGCGGGGTACGCCGTGCAGGCGACGGGGATGTTGGGCAAAGCGGGGAGTTGTGAGTGGCGGGTATTGACACTTTGACAAACCGCGTCTCGATGTTGCAACCGCCGCGCCCGGAGATCGAATCCACCCGACAACCTTTCGCGACATTGCGCAGTCCCACGTGCCCCAAACTGTCACCGTTCTCCCCTGCTGCAGGTTCCCTCGCCCTCGTGTCTGGCAGTGAAGGTGGTGGGGGAGGACTGGGTGGGCGTGGGAGACGGGGCGAGGGGGGAGGAGGGTAATGTTGGAGGAATCTGTTCATCTAAAAACCCGAACTCGTCGCGTCTTGTGACGTTTGGTCGTTCAACAACAACAAAAATACATATATAGAGAGAAAAATATAAAGAGAAAAAAAATGTAGAGGAACAAAAATATTTAAAGAGAAAAAATATAGAGAGAAATAAAATAGAGAGAGAAAAACATATATCGAGAAAAAAATATATAGGGACAAATATTTCTTGAATAAAAAATGTATAGAGAGAAAAAATAGCGAGCCAGCCGTAGTAGATACGTCTCGACCCCGCCGTAATGCCCCGGGGTCACGGCGCGCGCTCGCTCGCTCGCCCTCGCACCCACAGCCCTGCCACGCGTGGGTGAACACGTTCAGGGGCCCGCGTGGATCATCGCTGCGGGAGGCGACGGGGATGGGGACACGTGAGGGTACAGAGGTTGGAACAGCGCGGCCGTAGCAAGGGGAGCCACGGTGCCGAGATGTTCACGACGTCGCCTGGTATACAGGAGGTCGTGGGTTCGATCCCAACCCTGACGCCTGCTGTACATTTGGAGTTCGCGGTGTCTCTCTCTTTCTCTCCACGTGGACGCGTGGATTTTTTTTTCTCCAGGGGCCTCCGATTTTTTCTTCTACCTCCACATTCAGAATCAATGTCCACGCGTTCGTAGGATTTGGCTGCTGCTTTTCATTTTTTTAAAATAATTTTCATACTTTATATTGGTAACAAAAAAAAATGCCGCTGTACATTTCCACGTGTCAAGCCACTCCGTTGACCCATCGTTTGTGGCCAGGTCGCTTCTAAAAAAACAAGAGCAACGTATCTCAGTGTGCCTGAACTGTTCGTTTTTGTTGTTTTTCAAATGTCAATTGTTTTTTTCGGGTTGCCTGCACACGTAGCGCGTGTGAGGGCCAAGTAAGTTAAGCGAGTGCATTGGTGAAGGCGCAAATCTCATAACACGAGGACGACGCGGGCTCTTGGGGGACTTGCAATCGTGACGTTGTTGCGTTAAGGAGTCACCACGTGCTCCTGAAAATTGACGGGTTGATTTTGCCGTTGTTACTTAATTCGATCATTATTAACGTTCGATTAAATGTTGCCACTTAATCATACTTTGGTTGTCGACCCCTTGACTGAGGTTATCATGAGTGTACCCTTGTACTATTAAAATCATTATTATAATCAGCCAGCTATATATATAAAATCTATGCCTCGAGTTTGCTGGCTGCCTGCCTGCTGCCTGCAGGGTTCCGATCCACTACAACGACAGATCTATTGCTAGTGGATGTTGCGGACCGTTGCAACGGAAGCTAGCTGGGTAACTGGCTGCACGGGATTTGTTTTTGTTTATTTGTCAGTGTAGCGATGAAACATTGAGTCGAGGTGACCCCGCGGGAAAAAAAGATGAAAAATAATAATAAGTTCGGAATACGTTTAGTAATAATCATCATCATGATGATACGAGATTGAGAGATAGACCGAAGAGGTCGGAGTAACGAATACAGGAGGATGACTCACGGTTCATTTCCAATTTTCTCTCCACTTAGCAATTTGTTCGATCCTATTAATGTAATTCTGTCGCCAGGATATTCATTAAAGTCTAGGGGATATTAAAACAACCTCACAATACACATTATATTTGCATCTGTATTATGACACCAGAGACAGAGAGGACGACTCAGAGAGAAATAGAGCGACCCAGAGAGAGAAAGAACGACCCAGAGAGAGAAAGAAAGTCTCAGAGAGAGGACGACTCAGAGAGAGAGAGGACGACTCAGAGAGAGGACGACTCGGAGAGAGAGAGGGGACGACTCAGAGAGAGGACGACTCAGAGAGAAAGAGAGGGGACGACTAAGAGAGAGGACGACTCAGAGAGAGAGATAAGACAACTCAGAGAGAGGACGACTCAGAGAGAGAGAGGGGACGACTCAGAGAGAGGACGACTCAGAGAGAAAGAGAGGGGACGATTCAGAGAGAGGATGACTCAGAGAGAGAGAGAGATGAGACGACTCAGAAAGAGGACGACTCAAGAGAGAGAGAGGACGACTCAGAGAGAGAGAGAGGACGACTCAGAGGCGCGAGGAGGAGGTTGCACAGACGACGAGCGGGGGAGCCAGCAGCAGCCACGCGGTGAGCAGCCAGCGGTCAAATCCCCCCCCCCCCACCCCAAGCTCTGCGGTTCTCTATATATGAAGGTGTTGTTGGTCAATAAATTAATTGTTTAGTCACGTGGAAGGAAACCGGAGCGAGGGGAAAACACTCTATCTCGTACAAATGGAATAGTTGGAGCCCACGTTGTTGTTGTTTTTGCTGTGTACCGTTTTGTCCTGGCAGAGAACAGGGGGCTAACGACTTCCCCTCCACGCTCACGGGAAGGGAGTTTCACAGCCCATCCGTGTGTGAACCGCCAACCCTGGCTGCATGCACAGTCCCGGATCACAAGCGGCCACGTGCGTAGCTACCACCACCGCTAACCGGCTGCATTGTACTCCACACACGCCTTCTTGGTTTTTTTTGTAATCCACTGCTGGATGATTGCCTCCCCGCGCCACTGATGTTAGCCGTGGCTGGAAATCGAACCGAGGCAGTCGGTGTCATCAGCGGATCGCAGGGCGGGTGGGGGAGAGGATTGTGTTTGACCATGCAAGCAAAGTCCAATCTTCCGGAAAGAAAATAAAATATATATTTTTTTCCCGAACTCAGCCACAGATTCACGCGTCCTCTCGATCGGCCTTAACGCCACACTCCGCGTGATTGTTCCTGGATGCGACGCGTTGCGTCCTATTTGACGGCCGACGAGAGAACGTCACCTTTTTACTCGTCGCCGTCGTCAAGGTTACGGATTAACCCGTCGAGGGCTCTTGGATGGGTCCCTAGCAACTCAGAGCTCCTCCAACTGCCATTTGGACCATTCCGATGTCCCGCTGGGTGCTGTAGCCTCGCCAAGAGACCCCCCCCCCCTACTCCACTTCCTTCACTCCCCCCCCCCCACCTCCTCCACCGTGGCAACTATTAAAGACAGCACTGCACACGTGTCCGCCCAGGGCTCACCGAAGTGCATTGGCTTCCAGTTGCCGAACGAATACATGATAAGGTTGCACTCACTCCACACACACACACAAATAAACCACAAACACATTCCTGCGGAGGGAGCTGGTAGGAACGTTGGGTTGCTCGGTCAATGGGCAGGGTCAACGGCGGCGTGGTGTATTCCGCAAATATGCCCGACTGTGAGGGCGGGCACAAGCCGGCGTGGGTAGGTTAAACGTTGAGTTTTATAAGGGCACCACGAGGTGACCAGCCCCTTCCCACCCAGCCCCACCCAGCCCCACCCAGTTCCTTCCCACCCTCCCCCCCAGCCCCTCCCCACCCTCCCCTCCCCACCCAGCCCCTCCCTCCCCACCCAGTCCCCTCCCTGCACGACGAACGGACACAATAATCCCCTGTGGGCTGGTGTAACCAGAGGTTCCTACCAGTAAAACATTGCTGATTTCGGCAAAGAGCATGAGCCCACAATCAGGCGAAACTCCGGTCGTCTTCCTCGCAGCAACAGCAGCAACAGCAGCAACAGCGGCAGCTTTTGGCTGCTCAGCCATCGAAACAAAGACGGTGGCCACCGCATCGCGCTCCTCTCAGATGCGCTTCTGCGGCCGTCTGGAATGCTCTTCCGTGCGATATTGGGAAGCCCCTGGGAGCCATGCAAACTTTTCAATCGTCATCTACGTTGAACGCTCATTTCTTTAGAACTGCCTTATGTGTCCTTACCACCCCACACATTCCATTAGCACGGTTGGCAACGTACGGTGCGAAGGAAGTTCAGTTGTACACACATAAAAGAATAATCGCACCACCAGCCTTGCGAACGGGGAATCGGTGTTGTATTTCGATTTAAAGCTTTCGTGACTAATAAAAATAAAACATAATAAAATAAAATATTTTATTTTATTATGTTTTATTTTTATTATTGTATTACTTCCCTTCTACGTGACTTTACCGAAAGAACCAAGAAGATCAGTGTTGTATTGTGCGTGTGTTTTTGTTGTTATTCCTGCGGTTGTTGTTGTTGTCATTCACTGTGATGATCTAAAGGTGCTTTGTCTATTTGCCAGACAGCCTCGCGGGGGGTGTGTGTGGGGGGGGGGGTGTCTATTTCTCAGCTGCGCGCGCTGTGGGAGAGGTGGGGGGTCGTGGTGGTGGTGGTGGGTATCGTGAGAGGGGGTGGAGGAGAAGTCTCTATTCTGCGCTTTGTTCAAGGGGATGAGAATACCGCAATTCGCGTGCTCGTCCGATGAAGGCACTCAGCCTGGGCGAGCCAACGTGGGAACGGAAACGTTTCATGGACTGCGAGTTCATGCGAAAGTGTCGGAGTGAGGCTGGGCAATGTCTGGCTAAACAGCACTCGTCCCGACAGTCTGTTAAGGCTATACGGGGGATATTTGTCTGTGTCTTTGCTGTGTATGAGGGGGGGGGTGGTGGGGGGCAGTGGTTATCACACTGAATTCGATTCCCCCACGCGGGCAATGCCAGTGACTCTAGATTTGAAGCTTTCGTGACTGCAAGGATTCATATTCTTATGTTTTTTCGGTAAAGTCACGTAGGTAAAAAAAAAAGTAAAATAAAAATAAAATAAAAATCACGACGTTTCGGAGGCAACACAAGCTTCCGTCTTCCGGTGGAACCGTCACAGCACGATAGCTGTAATGTTTTACCTACGTGACTTTACCGAAAAAACCTAAGAATATGAATGCCAGTGACGATTATCTGAACCGGTTCTGGGCCCTTCCCTAGGTCGACTCAGTCTCAAATGCGTGGCCGGTGCGGCGTGTAAACAT